TTTCTTGAGCACATGTTTTTTTTTAATTTATACATTTCTTGGAATTCGTTGATTTTTGTACATTAATTAACTTATTATATTGTGCAATTTTTTCGTTATTTCAAGAGTTTTTTTACTTTGAATTTCTTCGCTTATTTCGTTGATTAATTTTTGCTTACATTTTGTTATGAAATTTTGATTGTGTACATTTTTCGGTATTTCAAGAGCTGAGCCTTTATTTTTAATTGTATTGTCATAAACTATAATTGCTTGGATTATCGGATTTTATTTGAATGCTTTCAATCATATACATATTTTGCTGTGTGCTCATGCAAAATAACAAAAACAAAACGATAGAGTAAGGATATTTTTAATACAGTTGCCTTTTGGTATGTAAGAATGGTAAAGCTCGTAAAGTCTGAGTTTGATGAAAACATCCTGGAAAACCGGCTTTTTTCCATATAAGAACCTACTTTTCAACCGATTTCAACCGATGGACAGATAGATAGATAGACAGAAGTCAGACATAGATATATCAACTCGGCTGTTGATGCTGATCTAGATTATATATACCTTATGGGTTTCTATGCGTTAGAAGGGTCTAATGATAATAAATAAATAAAATAGCGAGAAGCCTTTTGAATTAAATACGTAAGTATGGCGAAACTTTGTGAATTCTACTTGCCGTTTATCGCAAGAGGCAGCAAAACATATTTAAATATTAATTTGCAATAGTTTCATAAAGCAGCCCCCCGCCCAAATCCCCGACTACTCGAAGTTTCACCCTGCTTGTAACTTGTGGCATATTTATACATATACATTTCTTTTTGTCCTTTGGACCATGTGCTGGCCAACTAGTAGCTGTTGCTGTTTCTGTTGCCAGTTTATTGTTCTTGTTGTTGCTTATTTTTTTATTTGCTTGCTTTTGGCGAGTTGAATAAACACTTGGCAAGTGACGCAAACGAGTGGCATGGTGGGGGGGATGGGTTGTGGGTTGTGGGGGTAAGCGACAGGAACGCATGGAAATGGCGACGTTGGCAGCTAAAGTAAATAAATAAATATGCTCGCCATTTGTCAGAGAATTGACTTGAGGCCATAAAATACAAGAAGCCAACATACGATGGACATACAACTATGCCCAACCTGCCCTGCCCGCCCCTCAGGCAACTGGCTACAGCTTCAAGTTTATTAACGCCATATGTTGTGTGCGTGTGTCTGTGGGTGTGCCTGTGTGTATGTGTGTGTGTTGCTTGTCCACTCATAACAACAGCAACAACAACAGCAGCAGCTGAACAGCTTAGATATGCACACATTCACACATACACACACACGCGCACACACTGTTTCGGCCAAGCTGGCGTCGTGCATGGCGAATGCGTTTTGGCCACGTTTGTTGCCCGTTGCGCGTGTCAACAGGGCGTATGATTAATATTGTATTAATATGCGATATGTAATTAAGATGTAAGCTGTTTGCGTATATCGTCGTTTAGTGTGCACGTGTGTCCCTGTGTTTGTTTGTGTGTGTGTGTGTGTGTGTGTGTGTGTGTGTGTCTGTATTAGCCATGTTTTGGCCACATAAAGCATTTCAAAGCTATTTTCAGTCTTTAAGCTGTGCCTGCTAGCGTTGCGAGCTGTGCAAATAAATACATTTTATTTTTTATGCCATGAATTCGTAATTTTTTAATAACTGCATTTGGGGAAATCATGAATTTGTCCTATTAGAAATTCAAAATAATAATTTGCCTGCAACAATAAAGTTAATTATCATCCTAGTAGTACATTTTAATTTAAATAGTAAGGAGAAAGCTACGGCATGCCGAAACTTTGATACCCTTGTAGTGTGTGTGAGTATGGTTAAGCTAGTTAAGGCTGAGTATGTTGAAAATATCTTGGAAACCAGAATATTAGATGTAGTTTTTCGACCGCTTCTTTATATAGAGCTATGCAATATAGTAGTGGAATATTGATAACACTTGGCTCGATATGTAAGTAGCTTAGTTCAAATAGCAAAATGCTGGTTCTAGTCAAGATATTTTGATAAGCAACAAAATTCGCCATGCAGGAACCTACTCTTTTGGCAATTGTTCCAATTGCAACTATACGATATAGTTGCCCGATCCGGCCTGTTCCGACATATATGCCTGCAACAGGAAGAAGACGCAGTTTCAAGACTGAGAAAATAGTTCGCATAGAAACAGCCAGACGGACAGAAATAAATCAGATATGGCCATATCAACTCGGCTGTTGATGCTGATCTAGAGTATATACCTATACTATATAAAAATATAAATATATCACATCTCAAAGCAATATTATAATACCTTCTAAAGAGTATACAAACCGATGACAGACTGACTGTCTAATTGGATGAGTTTCTAACACAAGTATAATTTACAATAAATGAAATGCAGCAAAAATACAGTTCATGTTTCACAGGCTGAAAGTGTCTAAACAAAAACCCTCATGACTAAAAACAAAAATAATATTAAATTATTAAAAACGTTGAGTGTCTACTTGATGCCAATTTAAACATATCCAATTAATTTTAGGTTTCACTTACATTACATTAAAAGTAGTCTATGAAAAATAGACAGTCTGAAAATGGACAATTAAAAAAAAACACTTCTAATAAAAATTATAAGAAAATTAAATCGTTTTAAGTGCTAACTAGAAATACAATAATGTCAATTTAAACATATTTCAATCTTTACTTACAAAAAGCATAAAATATATGAATGCAGAAAATAAAAATATCTATAAAGAAAATAAATACTTTTCTTTATGATATTTTCTACAATATCAAATTAATATGAGTGAAACTTTCACTCAGAAAATTGTAATTAAATTTCGGTTTGGTTAGCAATTTGTTGTCCATAATTTATTTACACTACGTAATTGTTTATTAATTGTTTAAGTGCAGTCAACTGTAGGAATTTCTGCTGAATTGATGCTGTTCATGGCCAAATCAATGACAAAATCCTGACAATCAGCAATCGAACTTCACTTTGACTTTAGCCCGGCAAACACACAGAAACACACACGCTGTCTGTTCATGAGAGCTACACATACATGCATATTGTACAGCCTGTCAATGTGTGTGTGTGTGTCTCTTATTTTGAAAGCTGTCAGCCAACCTGCTAACTAAAAATACCCGAAAAAAAACGAAAGAAAAAACACAAGTTTGCAACAAACCAAACCAAACCAAATGAAAGCAACAAAATTAAAAAAAAAAAAAGAAAACAAGAGTGAAAAAGAGGCAGAGAAATGACAATTCACGTAAAAAATTTTCAATTAAAAGCGAAAAGTGCATTTTCATGTTGCACGTCAGTTTTCTGGCCCGGCTACTGCGGCCGCGCTGCACTCACTTCTCGGCCCCGCACTCGAACAAAAAAATATTACGCTTTTTCTTCTTATTTCTTTTTTTGTCTATTTGCTGCGGTGGTTTTGGGCGGGTTAGCTGCGAACTGCGGCCGGGGCGTGGCCAGGCAATGTGACACCCAACAGCCGCCCTGCGCAGCGCAGCGCGGCGCAATGCCGTTTGCTTGAGCTAAGGCCAGGCCATAATTTAAGCTGACAAGCATGACATGGAAATTCCCTTTGGAGCAGAGCATTCCGTATAATCAGGCTAAAAACACATGGTCACCAGGCGCCGCTCACGGGTTACGGCTGCCGCTCCTCCGAGAGAGAGCCGCGGGCGCACTCCAAGGACCTTGTCGCCATTGTTAATTAACACATGCTCAGCGAATCGCAAATTAATTGCGACACTTCACACACTTGCCCCGCGCTCCAAGTCGCTCTTGAAACACCCATTTTAAATACTCGTAGTCGTCGTGGCCTTCACCCCAAGCCATGTTGCTTTGGCTTATAACGTATGATCCATAAATAGGGTGCTTTAGCACCCAAGATACGATAACTAAGATGTTCGGGGATCAAAGACTTCAGTTCTCATATTGAAACGTTCTCTGTAGCGGGCTAACAATCGGATAATTCCGTTGAATTGTCATGACTCTTTAAAGTATATATAATCAGCATCAACAGCCGAGTTGATATAAAACCCCCAAAACCGTGAGATAAATGTCTATTAGGCTATCAAAGCTTCAGTTTGCCAAAGTACACAATATTTTCTCGGGGTTTTTGTCTTGAATTATGGAAACTCGCGAGAGTTATGCAATCATGCAGATTCCAGAATATCTTAAAATCCTTTATCCTACCAACCATTCCGCAGGTGTTTCCAGTTTCCGTTTCCATTCCATACCTGGTATAAATCTGTATATATATATAAATCTGTATATATATATTGCCAGGTCCAAGAAGTATTTCTCAACATATTTGGTATTTGCAATGTTATCTTATCTATTTTGCTCTTAATGTTATATAAATTTTGTGCAGAACTCCTCCCCGGCCCGCCCAACGCTGGGCAATCAAGTAAAGCGTTCTGCGCGTTGTTTGTTTTGCCAAGGATGTCACTCTTCCAATATATCTAAAGTGCCTTTTTAAATTGCTTTGGTCGTTGGGCCATTATGAAGACGGCTGGGCGGGCTGCGGGGTACAGAAAACGGAAAAAGCGCATAAAAATCAAAGTCCTGCCCCGTTGGCTCGGTGGCCAGCAGCCTGCTTCCCAATGCTGGGAGTGGGAGGGTTCCGTTCCCTCTCCGCCTCGTCTGCCCCCCTCTTGGTCTATTGTGTGGGCCAATGGCTCGCTGATGACCCATTTGCTTTAACGCGCCTGCTATCAAACTGCCAAAACAAAAGCCATCATCGTTAGCCTCAGAAACCCGCTCCCCCCTCTTCCATCGGCTTGCTATGCGGGTGGCGTGAGGGCGCGGATCTGGAGCTGTTGCCTCGGGTTATGGGAAACGCTTCAAATGCCGTTTAAAATCAATTTGAATGATGAACTGGCCGCCAATGCTGGCAGCCAGCGTCACTTTGACTTGCTCGCCATCGGCTCAACCATATATGCAGCTCCAACTAACTCTCCCCCTTTCTCTTTCTCACTCTCTCTATCTCTTTCTCTTTCATAGAGTTCATACACAGCAGCGTGCGCTACATCGAAATGTCCAATACGCATCTGCAGAGCGTCGACGATGAAACATTTCAGGGACTGCGTCTGAAGACACTGAAGTTAATCGACAATGAGCTGCAGGACATATCCGAGCGCAGCTTCAGGTGAGTGTGTGTGAAGGTCAACACCTGTGATGGGGTGGGCAAGGGGCAAGGGGCAAGGTGCAAGGGGCAAGGTGCAGGGGGCAACTAGAGTCAGCTAGGGGACTGAGGACTACGTGTACTGGCATTTGCGATTAGGGTTATCACGACCTAAGTGCTGAGCCATGATGATGCACTCTGCCTCATAAAAACACACGCCAAGCACACACGCGCACGCACACACACACAAACGCGCACAAGTACATTTACATATACATTTCATATGTTCTGATGATGCGACAGTTTTCCAGGCCTATTTATATAGCCCGTGTGCGTCAGTTTTTTACGGCTTTTTCTTTTTTGGCATTTTTGTGTGAGTGTGTATGTGTGTGTGTTTATGTGTTTGTAGTGCAAGTGCTTACACACACACACACGCATTTATATTTTACAACATATAACTGCAAGTTGTAAAAAAGGCGTAAAATTAAGTTTAACAAACGACTAGCAACAGGGAGGGGCAATAGGGGGGGGGGGCACGTTGGGCAGTGCAGCGTGTGCGATGTTTGGGTGTGTTTCGTTGCGCACTCAGGCTGCAAATGCAGGCAGGAAATGCAAACTCACATGGCGAATACACTAGAACACACATACACACACACACTTACACACACACACAATCTCATTCAGACAAACTGCGGGGCAAAAGAAAAACTTTCAAGCGCTATTTGTTTGAGTGTAAATAATCACAAAAAGAGAAAAAAGCACTTATAAAGCAACAAAAAAAGGAGTATAAAAATTAATCACACTAAAACGGCAATTTAATACTCTGGTAAAACCATAGACATTATCAGTTTAAATAACTTTTATCTTGGCGAAAATCTAATCATTTTTTATGCTTTCCCTAAAGCATATATAATTTACATGCAGCTTTATATTAACTTTTTATAAGTAATATTTTGTTGTAATTTTTGGAAAAGTTTGCTGACGCACTTCTCAATATGATAAATAAATATATCTCTGATATAATACATGCTAGGCAGAGAAATCGCGTGCCAGAGAGAGAGAGAGAGAGAGAGAGAGATGGAGAGAGAACGAAAGAGATAGTGACAGGGAGAAAAAAGAGCAAGAGAAAGAAATTGTAAGAAATAAAGAGACAGAGAGAAGGAGATAGAGAGGGAGCGAGAAGAATTGTTATGAAACCCCAAAAAAAAAGCGAATAATAAGAGGAATAAATGCTATATAGGCTATCTTTCTCTATATCCTTCTCTTTCTCTCTCAGTCTCTTACCTAAATATTTATTTAGATATTGATAACTTTTTAAAAACATAAACAATCCAAAGCCAATAAGAAACCTAGCCTGACTTGACTTAAATTTCGCGTCCCATACCTAAAAACGCATAAAGTCAAAAAATATATATTTATACGCCTTGTAAATTCCACATTCTTAAGCGTATACATTGTTCGGCCATGCTGCCATAACGTAGTTCGACAACTAAAATACCCTACGCAGGGCCATAAACCAAAAGCGAGTTAAAAACGGACTCGAAATATGCATGTTCTGTTGTAAAGCGCACACTACTTTCATACATACATGCATACATGCACGTATTTCGTCAGCTTTTTTGTGCTCCCGCACAACACACATCACATCAAACATGTGACTGTGTGTGAAGCGTTACCCACTCTCAGTTCCTCACTCTCACCCAACCACCCACCCCCTCCTTCTCTCACACTCCCTCTCTTTTGGTTCTCTTTACCACTCGACCGCATTTGGCAGTTGTTGGGTTTTCTTGTTGTTGGGCGGCATGAAATGAAACGCGAAAATTTTTTAACGAGCACAAAGAGCCCAAACCAGTAACCGCCCCCATACCCCCCCCCCCCCCCCCCCCCCCCCCCCCAACCCTTCTCTGCCCCCTTTCGCCTAGCAGCCCGCTCGCCACAAACCAGCAACCGCATCCCCACCCCGCTGCGCCATACATTTGGCAAAGTTAAATGGACGCACGTTAACAGTTTGCGCAGTTTTTAAGACCCCCCCCCTCTGCCTCTCCACCCGCCCGCTTGCCCCTCGCCCAACCCAGACACAAGTAAACAGATAACGTGGGACAGCGTTGGCAGCGGAGCGGGCAGAGCTGGCAAATAGACACAAACTCGCTCGTCATTAACAGGCCGCATCTCAACTTAAATCAAACTAATTAATGTGCACAAACCTGGCAAAATGTGGCTAAAATTAGCCCAAGCAATCCGAACTCCCCCCGCCAGCTGCCTATTACCTACGCTCCCGCTATCCTCCCCTCTCTCTCTCTCTCTCGCTCTGCCCTTCTCACGGCTGTGTCGTATGTTAATCAAAAAGTTAGTTGAAAATCTGAACCCAACTTAAAAAATTATGATGGAAATATGCTGGCATAATAAGCAGAGCAAAGAGTAATCTATAAATAATAGAAGACACACACACACACACACATACATGCTTTTAATGTATTTATTAGATCTTTTCACACTCCAGGCCAGGAAGCCTTAATTTATTTTAAATGAGGTTTAATTCATTCTTGGTAACAAACCCTATAGAGGAGCTTCATATGAATTTTAAAGTTCAAATGAAAGTAACAGGTATCAAATTCGAATAACTTCAATTATTAATTATCATAAAAATATAATTATAAAATCAATAATATAAAATAAATAATACAACTATAAAATTTAATAGAGAATATTTAATAATTATACAGCAAAAATGACAATATTCTCATGATTATATACATGAAAATGAAATAATTATAAAAACAACAATAGCTAAGATTAAATACTAATAGTGATAATAATTATAATAAATAACAATATCAAAAATATTAATTATAATTGAATTAGTAAAATAGTAATCAAATCGTTTTCAAAACTACAATGTTTAATAAATAATATACTATATATATAATATAGTATATATATAATAAAGTTATATATCTATATAATAATATAATACATAAAAAACAAGTGAGAGTTCTAGTCGGGAGCTCCCGACTAGGGGATACCCTGAACCCTCTTTTTCCAACACCAAATATATATATATATACGGACAGACAGACGGACATGGCTAGATCGACTCGGCTATCGATGCTGATCAAGAATATATATACATTATGGGGTCGGAGATGCTTCCTTCTGCCTGTTACATATATTTGGCTTTCGCACAAATACAATATACCCCTACACCCAGCACAATTCTTGATTATTTAACTATGCTATCGAGTTTTCACATAAAGGCAACATAAGGAATGATACGACGTTGACCCACATGCCGACTAAATATATAGTATAAATTTTACTCAGTCATCCGCTGGTATATCAGAAGTTTCTGAAAGAAGTTGAATGGTTGCGCATTCAGTTGAGTTTGGAACGTGCTGGACGACGGTCAAAGAACATAAAACAATTCACATCTTGAACATGATTGGGCTCTGGGCACTTCTCGCCCTGATAACGCGCACAGGCCAGGCCGCTGATAAGGCCTTTCCACTGGAAATGGCCAACTGCACAAACCTCTGCCAGTGCTGGTTCCGCAATGATACTTCCTGGCCTTTGCTAAGGCCAACGAACTGCCTAACTTTCTGTTCGGACGACCACACAAAGCCCTGCTTCGATTGGACCAAGTGCCGTGTGCTGCCCGACACCTGTCAGTTATTCTGCGGCGGGGCAGCCTCGTCGTACAAGTGCGTTGCAAGGGACTATTCCATTGGCATGGACCATAAATCTCAGCTGCTCGCCTGGTTGTCGTATGTGGGCTATGGACTTCTTGGCGTGCTGTGTGTCTTGGGCCTTCTCTTTGGTGCTATGAAAGTATATAAATTTCGATTAAGAACATGACACACCTATAATATAAAGCAATAATAATACCTAAATATTATAGCACAATTGATATAATAATGTAGACCAAACGACGGAACATGTTCCCGATCGTAGTCGTATACAGTTGAACTTTGTCGTTTTTGTGTAATAATATTTTCGATTAACGCTTTCAACGATCTCTGTGAAACTTCCATTAAAATCAATGCCAATTGCAATGAAAGAACTTGATACAAGCTTCGACTCCAGTAGTATAAATTCTTTTCCCGGTGCTATAAGTAAGAAAAAAAAAACAAAATAATTGAAAACCACAAACATCATGAATATTAAAAATAAACAGCAACAATAGTTACCATTCCAGACATAAAATTCACTCGGCCGTTTGATCCCGTATTAATACGACTTTGTTTAAATGTAATCAACATTATACATAAGCCCTCTTTGCATTGCCGACGAGTTCGTCTCACTCAAATTTATCACATGGCAGCAATTAAAACTGCGCCTCAGCACAATAGTCTGACTGTTTAACAATTGACAACTGGAGTCAAAGTTGTGCAGAAAAAGTGGGCATACAGCAATTAGAGCAAGCCATGGATCACAAAAGCAATTCTTGCTTTGAGTGGAAAGCATCAATACAAATTCGACAGAGCGCGAGAGAAAGGTAGATAATGCACAAGCAACTACACATATGCGTGCATAGATAATGCAGAAGCGAACACACGCACAAACAAGTGCATGCGGAGAGAGAGTCGCCAAATATATGTATGTATGTATGCATGCATATGTATGTATGTCTGCTTGTGCATTATCTACTTATGCTTGGCGCTCAGTCGAATTTTGTTGCTGACACGACTTGCTCTAATTTCTGTGCGCCCATTTTTTGTGCTCTGCTTTGCGCACTCGCAACTCAGTTCTCTTTAAGTTAAGCCCCTGTGTTAAATTTCACAATAAGGCAGACATAAGTTTATGCACAGCCACAAGTTGTCTCCAGCTGGTTGTCTGAGATTGTGATCCATGCTTTATGTGCAGCATTATTGAAAGAAATTCCAACAAAATCGCTCCATTAATAATAAATTTTATAGTAGACGCCAATTAACTGACATGATAAATTGTAATGGGCACATACATGTATCAAATGAACAGTTTCAATAGTCCACCACATTTTGAAAAGGTAAACATATATTTTATAGATCAAACCTTCTTCAAATCAAATACAACTTGGCTGTGCAGAATGTGCTATTTACCACTGGGGATAAACTAAAGCAGAATTCAGTTGCGAGTGCGCAAAGCGGACAAAAATGGGGAAGCATACAAAATTGAGCAACAACAAAAATTCGTCTAAGGTACAAGCAGACATGCATATATACACAATGCAATTATTTGTATGTGTGTTTTTTTTGCTTGTGCGTTATCTACCTTAAATTGTGCTCACACGAATTTTAGTTGTTTATCTGTCCAAGCAAGAACTTCTCTTTTGATCGATGGCCTGTTCAATTTTCTGTGCGCCCATTTTTCTCGCGGCTATGCGTTCGCTCAACTTATTTGTCTGATAGTTTAACTTATCAATCAATTGCACTTGCTAAGTCTGCAGGTCTTATTGTGCGTACTTGTGCCAAAATCGCCCATTTTATAAAAGTTTTTTAAAAAAGTAAACTAAAAAAAGTTACCTAGAGGATATTGCTCTTTATCAAAATTTAAAATCAATATCAATCAACGAGCAATAAAGAACTTGCGGCTGTGCAGAATTCTAGCCCTACTTGCATGTGCAATTTACCACTGGGGTCAAAACTAAATAGAAATCAGTAGTGAGTGCACAAAGCGCACAAAAAAATGGGCGCACAGAAAGCTGAGAAGGTGCTAGGCATCAATAAAAATTCGACTGAGCGCGAGTAAAAGCGAGATAACGCAAGCCAATACACACACAAACAAGTGCATGCAATAAAATGTGAATATGTATGTCTGCTTGTAATTCGCACTCAGACGAATTTTGGCTGCTTATCGCTCCAAGCAAGACTTGCTCAATTTTGAATGCGCTCATATTTTGGTCCGAGTGAAATGATATGTTTAACGGGCTGCAGATTCTGCACAGAGCCGAGCTGTTAACTGCTGCTTGGGTAAGAATGTGGCGCATGTTTTACCTACAGATCAGACAGGTGTGAACTACGGCAAAATTTCCATCGCTATAATTTAAGCTAAATCCTTTTTTTTATTAATAAAAGTAAATAAAAATTATGCTTATTATTATTCATAGGCAATATTGTGTCACATTAGATTCTGTAGAAAATCAAAATCGGACTTAATTTAGCCCAGCTAGAGCCTTTTAATGTTTAATAAAGAAAATAATTTATTCTTAATTTTTTTTCAGCTTTATCTTTTGTGCTCATGATTAAGGCAGATGTTTCCTAGATGACCTTTATATCCATGGTCATTCAATACCATGGATATAGTCCTAGCTAACCTAAAAACCCGAATACTGTCAAAATGCGCAAGTTATGGAGAATCGTGTATGCTTTTTCAGTGGTTCCTAGTTGACTAATACACCCTTGGTTAGATCATACCATCGAGTTAGTCCTGGCGAACCTAAAGGACCAGATCCCTGCGGAATTCGCATGGGAATGGTCCAAAAACATGTATGCATTTTGTTTCAGCAACCCTGTACATGAGCTGCAGCAGCAGCTACAGCAGAAGCTGCGTCTGCTAATTAAAAGTCCTTTTTACAGCACTCATTTAACATAAACTATAACTTAACATTACTCATTTAACATTATCGGTGGCTTAACAGCACTCATTTTAAATGAGTTACATTTTTGCCCTTTTGGGTATGCAATAACATTTTTTCGGCAGCTAAAACTATTTTTTGTCGACCTTCTGGGATTTCTGTTCGCCTGGTATTTTTGGGAAATTTTAGCTACAAATTTGGGACCCAGCCGGCGACAAGGGCGCCCCTTTTGGATATGCAATGAATAATTTTCGGCAGCTAAAAACATTTTTTATCGACCTTCTGTGCATTTCTGTTCGCCTGGTATTTTGGCAGATTTTAAGAAAAATCTCGGCAGCCAGCCAAAACGACATAGCTCCGCCTGGAGATATGACGTTCCAAAACGACATAGCTCCGCCTGGAGATATGACGTTCCAAAACGACATAACTCCGCCTGGAGATATGACGTTCCAAAACGACATAACTCCGCCTGGAGATATGACGTTCCAAAACGACATAACTCCACCTGGAGATATGAAGTTCCAAAACGACATAACTCCGCGCGGAGATATGACGTTCCGAAACGACATTTCAGCCGAATTTTAGAAAAATCTGGTCAGCCAAAAAAAAAAACAGAAAATTGTTGATTTTTTTAAATTATTTATTTATTTATGCTTTAATTTAAAAATATATTTTTTTAAATGTAATTTTACTATTTATTTGTCTTAAAATTATACAGAAAGAGCAATAATTATAAATGTAGCTTATTTTAACTTAAAATTGCTATATCTGGATGAATTTAACGCCTATCCTGGAAAGAAGTGTTCTAGAAAGGATTGATATCCTTAATTTGTCAATCTGAAAAGTAAAAAACACATTTAAATAAAGCAATTCCAGAAAATATATAATCGTATTCTGAGCAGAAAAATAGCCATAACTCGGGCATATCCTTGCAGATTTTCAAAGGACATGGTACATTAGGATCGTAGAGTCCACCTGCATCGATCTGCATTAAAAAATTATGGGGTCATCTAAGAATCATGGACTTGGTAAAATTTCAGTCGCGGGCGCAAGGAAAATTGGCTGAAAACACAAAATTACAGTAAAATCACGATAACTCTGAAACTACAAGGACGATCTCGATGTCCTTTGGCCAGATGGTGGCCCCAGTCAATACAATTTTTTTGACACATAGCTCGCCAGGATATGCAAGGATACGACCGAGCTAGAGACTATTTTCTTTAGAGAAATTTGTCCTTAAAACTTTTTTGTCTGAAGGACTTTCGTCCTTTGGATTGTATTTTCTTAAATGGGAGGGCGAGGACTATTTGCTGGCCAAAGGACAACATGATAGGCCTTTAAATGGTAAAGTTAGCCCGAATTTGTTCGGTTTTGGCCAATTTTGCGACTAAACCCCTATGAAAATTTTTGTGAAAATTTTTTTTCGAAATATGAAAATTCTTGAATGCCAATTGATAGTCCTGATCCCCACGAGTTATAAAATGTATATCCTTTCGATATCCTTAAGGATTTGGCTGAGTTATGGCTACAAATAAAATGTCCTTTTTATAAAAGTAGCCATATATCGGAAACCACAAGGACGATTTTAATGTCCTTTGGCCAGATTATAGTCCTTGGCCATACGATTTGTCTAACACATGACTTGTCAGGATATGTGAGGAAACGGCCGAGTTATGGCTTTCTCAATTTAAAAAATATTTGTTGTAATATCTTGGCTGTCTGAAGGACTTTCGTCCTATGCATGGCATATTCTGGTAACAGACAATGGGCACCATAGGTTGGCCAAAGGACATCACGATAGTCCTTAGAATGGACAAGCTATGGCCGATTTAATTTTTCATATCCTTTTTAGGAAAATAGTCATATATCCTAAACTATAAGGACGATTTCGATATCCTTCGGCCATTTGATACTGATATTCGGAACGAACAATTTGACATACAACTTGTCAGGATTCGCAAGGATACGACCGAACTATTGCTTATTTTCTGTACAAAACAAATGTCCTATCTTGTCTGTCTAAAATACGTTGGTTTGTTTTTCTTTCCAAATTCTAAATTGGGTAAATCAGCACAATCGGATATCTGAAGGACATCATGATCCTATTGCATATTTTCTATAATAACAAATGACCTGTTATCTTGACTATCTGAAGAACGTTCGTCATTTTCTGAATTGAATTGAGGGGATAAGGACAATGAGTTTCCCTCCGAAAAATTTCCACTGACCTATGACCAATTTTCTGTATGCGGTAATTAATTATTTACACACGGTATGTGGTGGTGCGTGTTTGTGTTGGAGTATTGATGTATGTGTGTGTGTGTGTGTGTGTGGCATGTGTTGATTTCTCTGCTTCTTACGTTGCGTGTTTCTTGCGTGTTGAGGTTCAGTTGTAAATGCATGTGAATGTACTAAATACAAAGCATTGCACGAGGGCTGCCACAGTTAAAGTGCCTGTAAATAGATAAAAAAAAAACAGTTTTTATTCAAAATAATTCAACATTTGAAGATGGTCGTTTATGATACATAGACGTATTTATATAAAAAGTATGCAAATAGCAAAAAGTTTGATGCGAGGGTAGCTAATGACAGGAATAGAGCTACTTTTCGAACTGCTCTCGGCTTATGCACACGTAAACACATGCATGCTCGAGCCTTTTGATGACAAACGCACTCACGCACACACACACTCATCTTAAATGGGCGACCACAAGTAAAACAACAGCAACAACAAGAGGAGAGCAGCGAGCTGCCGGCAAACAGCAAATGGCAACCAAAACGCAAACCAAAGGCAGCCGCCGCCAACAAGAAGAGCCGCGGGGCGAAAAGGATACGATGGGGAGGTGAAGAAGTCGCCTAGAGCGAGAGAGAACAAGAGCCCGCCAAAGGAGCCACAAAAATTTGGTTTGCGTTTGATTCTTCGTCGCATAAGCAGCAGAGCCTGTCAGCAACAACAACAATAACAACAACAACAACTATAACACGAACAAGAAAGCGCAGGAATAACAAGAACGCGCAGCACTAAAGCAGCGACGCGACACAGCTTTGGGCAGAGGCTGATGCTTGTTGGCAAAGCCTCGTGGTTTTCATAATTGAGGTCGCTCTTTTACGCTCTTGCTCCCGCTCTCTTTCTCTCTCTTTCTTTAGTGTTTGTACTGCGTGTATGTGTAACTATTAATGGAGTGCAGCGGTAACTGGATGCCGTGTGGTGTTGTCCTGGCGGGCGGAAAGAGGGCTCGGGGGTCAGGGGGCAGGTCACATGACTCGTCGTCGGGTGTGCGGTGCGTTAATTAAGTTTAAATATTTGTTTTCTGACTTGTGTGTTGAATATGTCAAAAGGCAGGCGCCACCTCAATAAGCGGAGGGGCTTGACGCTTGGACAGTGGGCGTGGCCAGCGAAACTTTTAGCATTATAAACGTATCACAAATACATCAACTTGCATATAGATAACCTCCCTATCTCTCTCTCTCTCTCTCTCTCTCTTTTTCCCATACAGCACAATGACGTACTCTCTGATGACACTGGACATCTCGGGCAACAAGATGCAGCAGCTGCCACTGGAGGCACTGCAGAGATTGCACTCGCTGACGCGACTCGTGGCGCAACGGTAAGTGGATTGACTTCAATTTCTGTTGACACGACTGGGCGTGGCAAAGTGGGAGGCACCTTGGAGTGGTGAAATGTACACAGAGAGAAATTTAGTTGAAGAAAGAAATCTAGTACTAAATTTGATATAGTTTAGGCAACTAATATTATGCCACTATATGTATGTGTGTCGAAATTTCAGGTCCCTAGCTCTTATAGGTTCTGAGATCTACGCGTTTATACAAACGGACGAACGGACAAAGGGACAGACAGACGTACAGGGCTTAAATCTATTAACAATATCTTATTCTTAAGAGATTCTTAAGAGATTCTTGAAGTACATGAGATATATCTCGAAAAACCTTATTTAGTTAGATTGAAAGAGTTGTATGCACCAAGCTAGCTAGATCCCTAATCCATATCTTTCTAATTAGTTCAATACGATGTCTCTCTTACGTTTCCTTGATAGGAATCACATAACCAGCTTGGAGGGCAACTGGGAGGCACAGCACGATACGTTGCGTTCCCTGCATCTGTCCGGGAATGACATAACAGAAGTGGCGCCAGGTGGTGCTCAGGATTTGCTTGCCAGTCCTGGCGATAACAGTTCACAGCCGAGCAGCTTGACTGCGATGCAGAGTAGGCTGGATGGCAGCAATACGTTGCATGCAGCTAATCCTGGCGCGGATCGGGCGGGCGGCCGTCCCTTTGAACAGCTGCAGAAGCTGCTTTGGCTGGACTTGTCCAACAATCGCATAACCCATGTGGCGGCCAACTATTTGCCGCGCTCACTGGTGACCATGGATCTGTCCAGCAATTTGTTGAGCGTCTTTCCGCAGCAGCTGTTCGAGCAGCTGCCGGAGCTGCGTATTGTCAGTCTGCGGGACAACCTGCTGCGCAGCGTCCAGTGGAAGGAGTTGCAGTTGCGTCCGCTGCGCATGCATCTGGAGAAGCTAGATCTGGGTCAGAATTGCATTGAGCACCTGGAATCGGATTACTTTCAGCAAAACTACTCGGACGTGCACATACGTGCGCTCAACATGGAGCAGAACTATGTTGGGCAGCTGCCGGCGGAGGTCTTTAAGGACACGGGCATTGTGCATCTTGTGCTGGCCTTCAATGCCATCAGCCGCGTGCATCCGGTTGCATTTGAGGGCCTGACGGATACGCTGGAATACTTGGATTTGGAACGCAATCACCTGACCACTGTGCCGGTGGCTATATCCACACTGCATCGCCTGAGATATTTGTATCTCACCTCCAATCAGATCGATCAGCTAACCAATTTGCCCACATTTACGGAGAATCTTAAAGTCTTGAGCCTGAGCGGGAATAACTTTACAATGATACCCGTTTTGGGCTTGAAGAACTACACACAGCTATCCTATCTGAATATGGGCTACAACTCCATAGCTGATATACCCGAAGGCATCTTTGCCGTGGACGGTTGGGGCGCCAACCTGCAGACTATTCTGCTGCGGAACAATAAGATAACGCATCTGCATCTGGGCTCGTTTGCGGGCCTGGAGCAAATACAGGAGATTAGCCTGAGCTTTAATGATATAACCATACATCATCCTTTGGTCTTTGAGAATGTTTCGCATACGCTGAAAATACTGGAGCTCTCGTTTGCTGTGTTCCCGGCCAGAAGCTTGGAGTCTCTGGATCCGCTGGATGCCCTGTTGCCGCTCTCACAGCTGATTTGGTTGGGCCTGGACAATAACAATCTGAAGAGCATATCCAATGAGTCGTTTGCGCAAATGCGCGAACTGAGCTACATCAATCTGAGCTTCAATCAGCTGAAAGCACTGCCGCGCGGACTCTTCCTGCCGGATGCGCACAGCCATCTGGTGGAGATTGAGCTCTCCTACAATGCCCTGGAGCGCTTGGAGCCGCAAACCTTTCACAATCTGGGTGACTTGCAGACGCTTAATCTGCAGTCGAATCGTTTGCGCAGCATTGCCCGTCATGCCTTTCACAATCTCGAGTTCCTACGCTATATAGATCTATCGTACAATCGCTTGAGCAACATATCCCATGCCGCTTTTACCGTGCTGCCCAATCTGGCTGCACTGGATCTCATGCATAATCAGCTGTGTGCCATATCCTTGAAGTCCTTTCACTACGTCTCAAATGCTACAACTCCGCTGCGCCTCAATCTAAGCCACAATCACATCTCGAGCTTCGATGATGAACTGAGCAGCTATATGTATATATATCAGCTGGACATCAGTCACAATCATGTGGCCAAGTCGGATAGTTTTACCAATCTGGCCAATACGCTGCGCTTCCTCAATTTGGCACACAACGCTTTGGGCGCTCTGCAAAGTCACGCGTTTGGGGACTTGGAATTCCTGGAGATTCTGAATCTGTCCCACAACAATCTCAGCTCGCTGCGTCGCCGCAGCTTTCAGGGTCTGAACAGCCTGCAGGAGCTGGATCTCAGCCACAATCAGCTGGATCAGCTGCAGGTGGAGCAATTCTCGAATCTGCGCAAGCTGCGAATTCTGCGCATCTGCTCAAATCGATTGCGCGCTTTGCCGCGCGAAGTGTTCATGAACACGCGCCTGGAGTTTCTGGACATATCCGACAATCAGCTGAGCGTTTGGCCCGTGCCGGCATTTACGGACATCGGCTTTACACTGAGATCCATTCAGATGTCGCGCAACAATCTGGAGTATCTGGACGCTTCCATGTTTGTCAACTCACAGTTCCTCTACGACATAAGTTTGGCTCGCAATCGCATTACCATACTGCCGGATAACACCTTTAGCTTCCTTAACAATCTAACCAATCTGGATCTGTCCGAGAATCCGCTAGTTACCACCAATTTGCGTGAGGTCTTTGTGCACACGCCCCGCGTACGCAAGCTAATCCTTCATCACATGGGCCTCTATGTGCTGCCCACACTGAAGCTGCCGCTGCTCTCCTACCTGGACGTCAGCGGCAATTATCTGCAGGAGTTGTCGCCGCTGAGTGGACTGCGGCATCTGCGCTACGTCAATATCTCCCACAATAAGCTCATCAATGCCAGCTGCGCTGTGGAGCATTTGCCACCGTCTGTGAGGGTTCTGGACCTGGCGCACAATCCCCTACGTCGCATCACTCTGCACGATCTGTTGAGCTTGCGCCATCTGTCGGAGCTCAACCTGCTGGACGTTAAGGTGGCCAATCCGCAGGCCTTCTCAAAGCTGCGCTCGTTACGAAAACTTCATGCCAGCTCGCATGCAAATCTAGGCGATTTGGTGGCCCGTCTGCCCGGCCTGCAAGAGCTGCGCGTACACTGCCTGGAGCCCAATATTGGGGGTCAACTGCTGGCCAAGCTGGCCAACAATACAAAGCTACAGCTGTTGGAGCTGTACGGCAGCAATGTGCAGACCATATCACCCGCTGTCTTCACTGGACTCTCGCGCAATCAGCGGCTGAAGGTGAAGATCTCCCATACGCGCATCTCGGATCTGCCGCCAGGAATTTTCTATACACTGCGCGAGGTGCCCCACCTATCCATTGATATCTCGCATAATCGCATCAATGCATTGGCCGCCGACAGTTTTTATCCCAATAAGAGCTACTGGGATGCGGTGGGCACGCGCAGCATTATGGGCGGCCTCATAACCTCGCACAATCCGCTCGAATGCGAGTGCGGTCTGGTCTGGTTCGGACATTGGCTGCGTCGCTGGCTGCGCGAATCGGCGCAGATCAAGGTCATACAAAAGGATGACCTCAAGCGTATGGTGCAGGTGCGTCTTAACAAACCAATAATTATTTTCTACTACTCATTCTTTCTCTTTAATCTTGGTTTATTTTCGCAAAAGCTACCCCTATCGGTTGCCGATATGCGTGTAAGCTTTTTTATCGTTTCTATATAATTTAAGAATTAACTCAAAGAAATATTTAAAAAATAAATCGTCTTTTGGCAAAGCTATAAGACTATCGATAGTTAGACACTCTACTCGATCAATATCTATTAATAGCTATCCAAAATATATATGAAAGATACAAAAATATGTATTAGAAATAAAAGTAATTGCAATCAACAAAAGTATCTGCAAGGCAGTTGATAATCATCGATAGACAGCTCCCTCAAATATAACTGGAAGATACAAAAATATTTAAAAGACAAAAGCAAATGCGAGACACAAAAGTGAAGAGATGAATGTATCTTACTCATAGATTTCTATCTAACAAATATGGTTTAATTGACTGAGATATTTCTCAACAATTTTATTATCCCAAAGTTAAATTGTAAACGCAAAGTTACTGCTGTAGCTCACACAAGCTTTTATATCTCACAAACACTTTTGTATCTTACAGATACTTTTGAATCTTTCAGATACTTTTGTATCTTACTGGTAATTCTCTATCTTACAGATACTCTGCAACTCATAAGTGGTAATATACCACAATTATGATCAAGTTACTTATCTTTTTGTACCTATCTACCAAGAAAATGTATCTAAGACGCTTGTTTAATTCTATCTTGAATTTCTTACCTCTTTAAACAGCGTGCGCGAGCCAACACCTGCCACGATACCGCATCGGGGCGCCATTTGCCCATACTGGAGATTTTTCCCGAGGATCTGCTGTGCCAGGCCAGCGCCTTGAGCAGCTCCGGTCAGCGCATCTTTCTGTTATCCTTTGCGGCTGCGTTAACGCTTCCACTGTTCACCATATCCCTTTGATGTTGGCTCTAGTAGCTGATGCAACTGGCCAACTGAGATGCCTGTTGGATAACGATAAAATATATGTATGATATTTGTATATAAAGTTGAACATAATATATATATAAATATATATGTACTAATCGTAGCCAGAGTTTTGGCAGCACTTGGAATTAGCTAATGAACCCAAACAATAACGAAAAAGAATAGAAAAAAAAAATAAACAGCAAATCGGTTTATGTCCACTCGTAATGTATAAGTTTTATATATGCATATATAATATGTAAAATTATATATTTACGGAAAATACACACATATATAAAGTAGGACTTTAAAAGAATGCGGCACGTTGTCGCATTCTTTCAGCGCCAAGCGGTCGGAAGTTTTCATATAAAAATATAAATAATTTTGGAATTGTTATTCAACTTATAATTCATTTACTCATTCCTTTTCTGGACTTAATATATTGGCTAATTACTTCATCCTAATGGCTCAGTAAACTATTTTCGACACTAATTAGTGCTCACAGCTGTTCCGTATTATTATTTATATTGTTTATCATGCGATACTCTTGTCTTAGCAATTATTTTTCATATAATCATTTATTTAGTTACCATCAAAAGACCATTAGGTAATTTAAGTGCAGACGCTACACACCCTGTCCGCTTAGCGCTGAGTCTTGGCCAACTTAATGGTAATTAATACAATCGATTACATAAAATCACAAACACATTAACACACACAGACAAACAAGCGGATATATGTTGATTCCTAATAGGTGACAAGGACACACACATCATACTTATTTATAGACACACCCACACACACACACACACACACACACACACACACACAATTAGAGCGTAGTTAATAAACACTTTTGCATCTATAGATTTAATAGACAATTAAGTTGTTAATAATAGTATACATGAGGTATATATATGATATATATATATCTATATATATATATGAGTAATTTTAAAAGCTGAAACCGATTCTAGATACAAGTATGGAATACAACTTAGCAACAAGGCCAATAAGTAAATGATAAATAAATAAATCTATATTAAATAATTTAAAAATAAAAAATATAACTAAATATATGAATACTTAAAGATACGAATATGAACGATCAATTGGATAGCAATTACAATGGTTTTTTAATGAACGTAGAAAAAAGCGCCACATTGCACACTTATCACTTACAAATATAAATTAAAAAAAAAATACGAGGACTACTAGGGGTGGGCTTACGAACTTTGGCGGCAGTCAATTTTTAACACACATATAAGTACATATCAGTTTTGGCAAAAGTAATATAATAAAACATAATGAAAAGCGTAAACATTTACAGAGTGCACACACACACACACACACACACTCACACACACACGCGACTACAATATAAATACCAATTAAATGGCATACATTATCAAACACAATTTTCCAACCAGTTTTTTTTTTGCTATTGTTTTTGTTAATTGTTTTTCAAAATAAAATCACCTTTTTGTTGTGTTTTTTCGTTACAACAATGACAATCGTGATACTAATTGTAGTTGTTTACACGACGATGATGCAAATGCACAAGTATAATAATAATATTTAACAAAAAGAACTAAATAAACTATTCACTGCGAGAACAAATGAATAAATTAATTAAAATAACCGAAACGATGACCCACGCGATTTTGTGGTGCGGGTTAAAGGGTTCGACTGCTGCTGGTCATGAAATAAATATTTTTATTCCTTTAAGCAAGCATATTCTTTTTGGGTTTTTGCAATTTTTGTGAAAACATTTTTATTATTAAAATATCATATTGTAAATACATGAATATACAGAGGCAGCGTATATTACACATATTATGGCATTGCATTGAGTTCTATTTTTTTTTCTATCATTCCTATTATGCCCAACAGCAAAAGCAAAATTAAAGTAGTGGAAATTACAAAAAATAAAAATAAATGAAGAAAATGGCAAAAAAAAAAAAAAATTAAAAACAAAAACCATATCAATACAAATGAAATTGAATAAAAAATAAATAAAAATGCTAGAAATATTAACACTGTGTGTTTCGATAATGGAAAACGGCAACAAAGGTATTTTAATTAAAATGGATTTGATAGAGCTGACGCCCCTCCCCCCGTTTCCCCCCCCCCCCCCCCCCCCCCCTCCACTGCCTACTGTGAGTTACTACAACCCTTCGGTTCAACCGAAAATCCCAAATACCTTCGTTTAGCTGAGCGCTTACGTGTTTAAAATAACAAACACAATGCGCTAAACGGAGCAAATGGGTATACCGCACACACACACACACAGAGAGAGAGAGCGAGAGGGAGAGCCACGCCCCCTCTGATTAAAGACTGCGACTGCGGCAAGCCGCAGACATTAGACCCCCCCCTAGTCAGGGGCAGCTAGTCGACTCCTTGGCAGCTGCTTGGGTTCAGGTTGCGACCCTTTTATGCACACATTTTAGTGTTTTGGCCAATGTAACTTGATAATAACGCGAGCAGCCCGCAAAGCCAACAGGCAAATAAACTGGCTAAAATTATGTGAGAGACGCGCGCACGCCACGCAGCGCCCCTGCCCCTGTCCACCTCCCCTCACCAAACGCCGGCCAGACCCTTGGCCATGCTGGCAGGCCATAGCCATAATTGGATTATCGGCACGCTGAAGAGCTCTGACGAGTGCTCTACTTGTGCACTAGATGCACTTGGCTTGGCTCTGATATCCTGGCTAAAATAAAAGTAAAAGTGCCAGATACCCTAAAGTGCTTCAGTTGAGTGCGGGGGTTGAGGGGTGCGGCGGTTATTTAGCTACACACACACACACGCACACACACTCTGCGTATAAATGAACTTGTAATCTGGAAGTCTTAGAGCCAAATGTGGACTTACATATCGGAGCACTTTTAGAGGCATTCCCGTTTCGTGGTCTGTTGAATTTCACATCTTTGTCAAAACAAAAGGTAAATCTTGCCAAGATTGGGCTTAATTTAGCTATTTTTACTCCTATCATATATTCATTTTGACTAGTTCGGGCATGCACTCAACTTTTAATAGTAAAATTTGACACAATTCGATTAAAATTGCACTTTTAAACTAATAACACCATGCGGCTGCGCGGAACCGTTAATCTGTTCAACAATCCAATTGACTACTGAAAATAAACTCACACTAAAATTGGCACACAGAAAATACAGAAAACAGAGATATGGAGCGAAAAGCATCAGTAAAAATGCGAAAGAGCGCGAGAGGACGGTAGATAATGCACAAGCAACTACACATATGCGTGCATAGATAATGCAGAAGCGAACACACGCACAAACAAGTGCATGCGGAGAGAGAGTCGCCAAATCTATGTATGTATGTATGCATGCATATGTATGTATGTCTGCTTGTGCATTATCTACTTATGCTTGGCGCTCAGTCGAATTTTGTTGCTGACATGACTTGCTCTAATTTCTGTGCGCCCATTTTTTGTGCTCTGCTTTGCGCACTCGCAGCTTAATTCTCTATTTGTTTGACCCCAGTGCTAAATTGCACATTAAAGCAGACGAAAAATTCCGCACAGTCTCAAGTTTTACCTACTGGTTACAAGAAAACATCAATATTTAATGGGCTGATAAGCTAAATTGCGACAATATCACACAAATAACGATAGATTTTACAAATAAATAAAACAAAATATTAGATAATTGATATTAAGGGCAGTTGATTACAAGATATATAATAAAATTTGTCAGCAGCTCAAAAGTCCGCCACGGGTTTATAAGGTATATCTGGCCAAGATAGAAATATAACCCAATCAGTAATTAATAGCTTGCGGCTACACAGAATGCGAGCCTTGCTTAAAAGTGAAATTTATCACAGGGGTTAAACTAAAACAGAATTCAGTTGCGAGTGCGCAAAGCAGAAGTAGATAATGCACAAACAGACACACATATATGCAAATATATTTATAATTGGCGATTCCCTTTGAATTTGTATGTATATGTGTTCGTGTGCGCATTATCCATTCATGCATATGTATAGTTGCCTGTGCGTTATCTACTCTTGACTCGCGCTCAATCAAATTTTTATTGATGCTTTTCACTCATGGCCAAAAAAAAAAACACTTGCTCAATTTTCTGTGCGCCCAAATTTGTGTCTGTTTTGCGCACTCGCAGTTTTATTCTGTTTTTGCTTGACCCCTGTGATAAATAGCACATTTAAGCAGGGCCCACATTCTGCACAGTTGTAAGTTGTAGTTAGGAATGATATATGTACCTTTAAAAAACGCATCGGACTACTGACTTTTGTTGTGGGAATTTCTTCTTGCAATGCTTTACATAAAGCTTGGATCATGTTCTCAGACAACCAGCAGATGACAAAATGTGGCTGGTCAAATTATGACTTGTAGGCCTGCTGAAATGTGCAATTTACCACAGGGGTTAAAGTTACAGACAATTAAGTTGCAAGTGCGCAAAGCAGAGGACAAAAAATGGGCGCACAGAAATTAGAGAATGTTATGTCTGGAAAGATAAAATCGTTCGTGTGAGCGCGATGGATAAGTAGATAATTCCCAAGCAGACATATGTACATATAAATATTTATATTTGGCGATTCTCTCCCAGCATGCAATTGTATGTGTGTTTGTGCATGATCTATTCATACATATGTGTAGTTGCTTGTGCTTTATCTGCCTTTGACTCGCGCTCAGTCAAATTTCTATTGATACCTCATAACTCACAACTCCAAACAAGACTTGTATAACTTTCTGTGCGCCCATTTCTTTCCCCGCTGTGCATATCGCAATTTAATTCTGTTAGTTTGACCCCAGTGGTAAATTTCACATTTTATCAGGCAGATTTTGCATAGCCGCATTTAGTATAGTAGTAATACAATAAAAACATAAGATTGTTGAGAGAATATGAAAATTAAATACGTATTCGCTTGAAAGTCAAACTGAAATTGAAACTTTTTGATAAAGTTAAAGGCATTTTTTCACTGTTTCCAAATTTTCAGGCAAATAAATGAAAATAATTTGTTAAAACGTGATTAATATTTAGATGTTTTAAGTTTT